CTGGTCCAAAAATACATTTGTAACATGAAATATATATCCCAAAAAAGCTGTCAATATCTAACAAAAATATTATACTTAATTGAAAGTTTTTTTTTTCTTTAATCACTGATTGTAAACTTCATTGGCACAATCATCAGAGATGGACCAGTCAGAAGTAGTTATTTGTGTAAATGCAATGCAGAACTAGTATGCAAAACATTGGCTTTTTTTCCCATCTCACTTTTTATTCCCCATCACCATTTAGGGGCTCTGTAGAGCACTAGTAATCCTGATTTGGAAATCTGAAAAAGTGTGTATCTGAATGAGGGTGATCCAATCCAATTTTGCTTTGAAAGACCAGCACTAAAGTAAGATGGGTTATCTGATCCTGGATAGCAAAACATGAGATTTCCAAATCCAGATCACTCTGACCCAGATTAAACTTTTTGAACAACTGGCCCCAGTTGATGTGATTTGGATGCCTCTCCTCTCCAAGACCCACCCTGAAGGACCCACCTGTGAGGTAAGACTCAAACCAGTGCTTGCTGTGAGTTCCTAGGTGAGTAACGTAACGCATTACTTTCCATAAAAAGTAACTAAGTAATGCAATTAGTTACTTTTTTAGGGAGTAACTCATTATTGTATCCATAAAATGTAACTAAGTAATGCAATTAGTTACTTTTTTAGGGAGTAACTCATTATTGTAATGCATTACTTTTAAAAGTAACTTTCCCCAAACACTGCCTACATGAACATGGTAATCAAATTTCAAAATACATACAGTCACAAATGAATCTTGATCTCCCTCTAGTGGCCAGAAAACGCACTGCATCTTCTGACGGCGCTCCAAAAGTTGATCTTATTATTATGTTTAACAGGAACACGCATGCAAACTCGTTGACAAAATACAAAAAAATACTTGTGCTTTTGATGCAGGAAATGTTTGTTGTTTTTCAGAGCATCAGTGGGTGCTGACTGTCCATGGAAAGAAAGGCTCTTCACAGATGCTGTCTGGAGCTCAGAGGTTGGTTTCTGCTGCTCCACCAGATGAGTGGAGCTCAGAGAGAGATAGATAGAGAGAGAGAGACAGAGAGAGACAGAGAGAGAGTTTCAGACTGCTGTGTCTTTGCCAGCAGGGATCAGATGACACCCACAGGGCAAGAAACCTGAACCTGGGGCTCTCTGTTTACACGAGCGCGCTTATTCTTCCAAACACTGAGCAGAGAGTCTGTGCATTTGAGAGAGAGAAAGAAACTGTGTGTGTACTGATTGAGAAAGAGATTTTACTTACTGCTCACATTATTCTAACAAAAACAATAATGGCATTACCATGTTTTTGGACATGGTGCAATGCAGGCCTGCATGAATCATGGTAATGCACTGTGTAAGTCACTTCAGATTAAAGTTCTCAGCAAACAAACCGTTTTTACATTTTTAATGGTAATTTCGCTGCACGACGTTTTAAAAACGTTTTATTCACCTCATTATTAAATGCGGAAGTAAGCCGTTTTCTGTGAATGTGCGAGACTTCCGGTTCATTAGCCGCTGTAGGGAAATAAGGAGATCTCTAAAAATAGAGACCGGAAGCTAGACACATTAAATTTCCAAAAGGCTCCACCCACTCTTACGGGGAAAAATAAGGTGGATAACACAACTAAAAAAAAAAAAGAATGCAACCAAAATGAATGCATGTTGTTAATGAAGTTCCATGGTGTTACTTTGAAAATAAATACAATGATACATAATAAAGTACCATGATTTTACCATCTGAAACCGTAGTACCAGCATAGTACTTTTTTGGAAATAATTTCCACTAAAGCTGGGGGTTTTTTTCAGTTTTAAATAAATAAACAAAGAAGTAAATAAATGCATAGTGCCAGCACCATACTTAAAAAAAAATACTTTATAGGCTACTGAAGGTGTTTTGATTTTATAACAAATAAATAAACAAATAATCAAAAACTAATAAATATTATTTGCGGGCCAATTGCGTGATGCAACTCGTCACGTGATCTAATTTTAATTGCATTTTTAAAAGTGCTGCTTATTTATAATTAACAATATTTTTACTTAAGTAAAAGCAGTTCGTTTAAACGCGGCGCATTGTCGGTCACGTGACACCATTTTTTTTTACCACCGTTAAACTCTTTCCCAGTGTTGCCAACTTTGCAATTTTGTTGCTAAATTTAACAACTTTTCAAACTACCCTAGCAACTTTACACCTAGCAACAAATTTAGCTATTTAAAAAAAAAATGTTGCCAACTTTTGATAAGTGACAGAAACGATAAAAAGGCACACATTTTCCATCTAAATTGCACAAAAAGAGGAATCCAAAGATGCCTAGCAGTACACACATCACGCAAAATAAGTTAGCTGCTATTTGCAATTGTTCACTTTAATAATATTAATAATAATTGAATATTTGTTAATTTATGATACACCTTGTTAGTAGCTTGTACCTGCAACTGTTGGCAAGTTAATACACTGTAAGAAAAATATCTAGAAAAATGGAAAAGCTAGTCATTTTCCAGGACATTATCCGTTATCTGTTGTAACCCGAAAACACAAAATGCGATGCGTAATTTAAAATGCAGGCGAAAAACCTGTGGAAAAATCAATACGGAAAATTCCTTCCTATTAACGTATGTCATAGTAGATTGTGCCCTATTTTTACAGACTTTTCTTAGAATGTAGCATACTAACTACTAATATACTGCTTAAAACTATAATCGTTCAGAATGTGTAGTTTTAGTTTACTAGCTAATAAAAAAAAAGCTGTAAGTGTTCAATAATTCAATATTGTATTTAAAAATACAGTTATTTATATTTGTATATTATATTAGGCATTTATATTATTTCATGAACAAATCTAAATGAATTAAAATATATTTTTTGCTGAGATTTGATGTAGCGACAATTTTGCGCCGCGATTACGCTGATTACACAGTGACGTCACAACGCCATTTAGCAACTTTTAGCAACAATTCGACCTTCCTTTAGCGACTTCCCCTGAAAATTAGTTGGCTCTTTCCAACAGTTTTTATGACGCGATACTAGGGATGTATAGCGATGAACCGCGAGCCGGTTAAAAATCGATTCAAATATGTGACGATTCAAATCGGTTGAGATGCCAAACAAATTGCGATATAATTGGAGTATTAGTTTATATGAATGCATCTCTGAGGGGAACTGACTGTCTTTAGAAAAGTTTACGCAGTATTTTCTTTTCGTCTTGCCTCTGAACGATGCATATTAAAGTAGAGCATATTAAAGTTACACTGTATCACTGCTGTTCATGAGCGCCACCTGCTGGCAGAGAGTGCATCTGCGTCTCATTCAGCTCGTCTGCTGTTTCCTTCAGATATGTTTTATGTAGTATAGTTTCACAAAACTAAAGTCAGACCATTCTGTTTTTGCGTCAAATTTCGAAATGATACAATCTAATATAGATTACAAACTGCTCATGCTGCATGTATGCAGCATCTTTGTTTGGATCGTGATTAAAATGCAGTGGTTGCCTCTCATTTTAAATGGAAAGAGCACAGACAAAGCCTTAGTTTGTTTATATGAAGAGATTTCTTTTGTGTAACTTGCTTGTTTGATTTGGGGTTTGTTTTAAAATTTCAATTTAGTTTTGTTATATTTCAATTTCACAAAGAAAAGTGCAGCAATAGCCTAATAAAAGGACACCTTTTCATTTTTACTGTATAATGTCTTCAATCTCATTTTGTTACAAAAAAAATCGTGAGAAAATCGAGTCGTGAATCGAACCGTGAGTTGAGTGAATCGTTACATCGCGATCCCGCGGTAGTTTGAGGGAAACTGTGACCGATGGAGGGTGAAGCCTGTGGGAGGAGCAGGAGATGGTGTTGGGTTCCACCTCCTCCCCTGACCTCCGCTGCGCTCCTCTCTCTCTCATTGTGCTCCTCGTGGCCGAGATGGAAGCGGAGCGACCGGCGGAGAACAAGCGCAGCAGAAAACCCGCTCACCCCGTGAAGAGAGACGCGCGAGAGGAGATGAAGGTACGTGTTTCTGTTTTCTTGTGTTAAAACCAGCTCTGACTCTGGCGACTTGCTGCTGCGAAACTTCTGTCAAGCCGGATGACTAAAGAAGTTAAGCTGGTTGAGAAGCTTTGGTACACTAGCTTCCGTTAGTGAGCGATATAACATCTAGTGTCGAGATATGATGTGAATGAACACTGGATCAATGCTTTGTTATGCGTCCCATTCCGTTTTTAAAAAGATGAAATATTTATTATAAAAATATATTTTTAAATAAAATATTAAATATA